GTCCTGGACCAGATGACTTCACAGATAAATTACACCAAACATCCAAAGAAAAACTAACATTTATTCTTTTCAAACTATTCTGAAAAATTCAAGAGAAGGAAAAATTCCCATGCTCATTTTACAAGACCAGCATGATTCTAATTCCAAAACCAGATAAAGACACAAACAAAGAAAAAAAATGACTGGCCAATATCCCTGATGAAATAGATGTTAAAATCCTCAGGAAAATATTAGCAAACCAGATCCAGCAATACATATAAGAGAACATTTGTTTGGAAAATCACGAGGTAGAAGTTATTCATAGAAGAAATGGGCTTAGGAAACAAGTTATAGAGGTAAATGAAGGCCCTATGACCTAGGGAGTGAGGAAGGTAAAAAGGACAAGATGGGGAAGGAAAGGGAGATGGCAGAAGGGAAAGGCTTAGGCATGATCCCAGGAGGGAGAGCCAATCCAGCACCCATTTATGATAAAAAGTTTTAGCAAAGTGGGAATAGAGGAAATATACCTCAATGTAATAAAGGCCATATATGACAAACCTTCAGTCAACATCATACTCAGAGGGCAAAAACTAGTAGTGTTTCCTTTAAGATCAGGAAAAAGACAGGGATGTACATTTTCATATTCTTATTCAACATAGTGCTAGAAGTCCTAGCCATAGCAATCATACAGGAAAAAATAAAAGGCATCTATAGATTCACTGCAATTACTATTAAAATATCAATGGCATATTTTACAGATCTAGAACAAATATTCCAAAAATTTATATGGAACCAAAAAAGAGCCCAAATAGCCATATCAATCTTGAGAAAGAAGAATAATGTTGGAAGGATTGCAATACCAGATGTCAAATTATACTACAAAGCGTCTGTATTCAAAATAGCCTATAACGAACAGCCACTGTGGAAAACAGTATGGAGTTTCCTCAAAAAACTAAAAAATGGAACTGCCATTGGACTGAGTGACCTCACATCTAGGAATATATTATAAGAAACCTTAAATACCAATCAGAAAGAATGTATGCATCTCTGTGTTCATAACAGTGCAATTTATAATCTGGAAACAGCCCAAGTGCCTATCAGCAGATGAGTGGATTAAAAAGTGGTGGTACATTTACATAATGGAATACTATCTATATACACTGAGTGGTCAGATTATTATGACCACCTGGCGTTTGTAGGCAAATTAGCTGTTCACTGCATCATATGGGATATGGAAGCCAAATGCCTGTTCGAACACCTTTGCTATCTGCAGTTACCAAGATAAAACATCTCCAGTTCACACAGGAACACAAGGATTGGAAAGTCGAGCAATGGAAAAAAGTCATGTGGTCCAATGAATCACGTTTCCAGTTGCATCATGCAGATGGCAGAGTGAGAATTTGGCAGAAACAGCATGAAAGCATGCACCCCACATGCATAATTATAACCCTTCAAGCTTGTGGGGGCAGTGTTATGGTTTGGAGCATTGTTTTCCTGGCATGATTTGGGCCTTTAATTCATGTGGAACAACATCTGAATAGCACAACATACCTAAGTGTCATTGTTGATCAAGTTCATCCCAACGGAGATGGCTTCTTCTAACAAGACAACGCACCATGTCACGATACTCGTATTGTGTAGGAGTGGTTTCAAGAACATGAGGGAGACTTTACCTTGCTTAGGTTGCCCCCACAATCACCAGATCAATCCAATTGAGCATTTATGGGACTAAGTTAAAAGAGCCATTAAGCAGCTGGTTCCACAACCATCAAATCTCAAAAAAATGGACAGTGCTATTCATCAGGCATAGTGTCAGATTCCTCCCATCACCTTTCAACATCTTGTGCAGTCAATGCCAAGAAGACTCGCCAATGTATCAAAGGCAAAAGATGGCCCAACGAAGTACTAATGGGGTGGTCATAATAATCTGGCCACTCAGTGTATATAAAAGCCTAAGCAACCACTAAGATGGAACAACCAGTCACTATGATGCACACTGACCACCAGGAGGCAGACACTCAATGTAGGATTGCCAATGGGGCTTGCTAACCAACCTCCTGGTCCCTCCCTTTGACCAGCCAGCCCCAATCTCCTAATTGGAGCTAGGCCCCCAGGCTGGGATGGTGAACTAGAGGTGGGTGGCAGCAGATGCAGCCCAGTTCTCAGGGAGGCCAAGGGCCAGCTCCTTCCTCAGGGGCAGTGGCCAACCTCCCAGTCCCTGCCCCTGGCCGACAGGTCCTGATCACCCAATCAGGACCAGGCCGTGGGCTAGGACAGGGAACCGGGGTGGGTGGTGAATGCAGGCTACGAGGGAAGGAGAAAGAGAGGGGAGATGGAGAAGTGGGGAACTGTGCAGTGGTGGCACATGGGCAGCAAGGGAAAGAGGAGGTGGTAAGGCAGGGAACCTAATTGGCCCTGACCTACAGCCAGGCCTAGGGACCCCACTGTGCACAAATTTTGTGCACTGAGCCTCTAGTGCAGCTATAAAGAGGAGGGATCTCTTACCCTTTGAGATACCATGAAGCAAAAGAGTCTAGTCAGAGAAGGATAAGTATCATATGATCTCAGTCATATGTTGAATCCAATTAAGTAAACTGATAAACAAAATAGATCCAGAGACATAGAAGCATGGAACAGACTGACAAATCTCAGAGGGATGGTTGGGGGAGGGGGAAAGCTTAGCCAAATAACTTAGATATATATATATATACATAATCCATGAACACAGACAATAATGGGAAGGCTGAGTGGGGGCAGGGTAGAGGGGGTCAATGGGGAGAAAAGGGAACATCTGTAATACTTTCAACAGTAAAGATAATTTTTAAAACACACACACACACAAAAAAAAAACAAACACGTGGTACTGGCATAAACACAAACATATAGATCAATGGAGCAAAATAGAGAGCCCAGAAATAAACCCATCCCCAACATTACTAATCATCAAAGAAAGGAAAATTAAAACCATGAGCTATCACCTCACACCTATTATCAATAAATCAACAAACAAGGGTTGTCAAGGATGTGGAGGAAAGAGAACCCTTGTACACTGTTGGTGGGAATACAGATTGGTGCAGCCACTGTGCAAAGCAGTATGGAGTAACCTCAAAAGAAATAAAAAGGAACTGCCTATGATCCAGCAATTCTACCTCTGGGAATTTAGCTGAAGAAACCCAAGACACTAATTTAAAAGAATATATGTTAATTGCATGTTATTTATAGTAGCCAAGATTTGGAAGCAGCCCAAGTGTTTATCAGAAGATGAGTGGATAAAATAGTTATGGTATTCTGGCTGGCATGGCTCAGTAGTTGGCATGGCTCAGTGGTTGAGCATTGACCTATGAACCAGGAGATCACAGTTCGATTCCTGGTTGGGGCACATGCCCGGGTTGTGGACTCAATCCCCAGTAGTGGGGCGTGCAGGAGGCAGCCGATCAATGATTATCTCTCAACATTGATGTTTCTCTCTCTCCCTCTCCCTTCCTCTTTGAAATCAATAATAAAAATATATGGAAAAGAAAAGCTATGGTACCTTTACACAATGGAATATTACTCAGCAATAAAAAAGAAGAAGAAAATTTTATCCTTTGTATTAGCATGGATAGACCTGAAGAACATTATGCTAAGTGAAATAAGTCTCTCGGATTGAGTAAAAAAGAAAGAGAAAAAACTCATGGACACAGACAACAGTACGGTGATTATTGCAAGAGGGTGTGAGGGGAGGTGGAAGAATGTCGAGGGTAGATAAGTGATGATGGGGGGAAAAACAACAACAAAAAAGAGATGTAAGTATAAATGTACTAAAATATCTGATCAAGTGCAAAAGTAAAAGAAGAATGTAATCAATAAAAATTGGTGATGAGAAGTGAAGGAAGTTGAAAAAAAGAAATGCACTAATTATATCATTGCTTCTTCTAAGCAATCAATATATATACATAGAATAAAGCTGGAAAAAATATAGACTATATGGTAAATTTTTTTAAATGAACTGTAAAATAGAAATGTTTACATAAAATACATAGCAATAAATATGACCAAGCACACAAAGTTGAAATAACCTCAAAAATCCAGCAGAAGATTGGTTTTTCTCATAGGTGCCAGAATAGTGATTTCTAAATTTTTTTTAAATATATTTTATTGATTTTTCACAGAGAGAAAGAGAGAGGGATAGAGAGCTAGAAACGTCTATGAGAGAGAAACATCGACCAGCTGCCTCTTGCACACCCCCTACCGGGGATGTGCCCACAACCAATGTATCGATACATGCCCTTGACCAGAATCGAACCTGGGACGTTTCAGTCCGCAGACCAACGCTCTACCACTGAGCCAAACCGGTTTCGGCTGATTTCTAAATTTTTCTCTAAGGGTTTTATCATTGCAAGACAAGCCCCAGGTTGCCACTGTGCCCACAATGGGTTGCCACTGTGCCCTCAATAATCCAGGAAAGGTTATCTGACTTTCTATGCCCAGGTGGGCAGAGGAAAAAAAAAATTATTTCCTGAAAGGTATTATGACAGCTTTGGACTAGATAGCAAAAACCAAACTATAGAATTAACTTTGCCAACTAGGAAATGAAAAGCAACTGAAAGCTTCTGAAAATAAAGATTCAATGAGGAAAGTGAGAAGATTCTGATGATTAATTTGCAATGATCAGTGTAAGGGAGAAAGGAAAATAAGAGATTTTGTCGAGTCCTTCATTATTGATCCTATAACAATCTTGAGAAAGCAAATGTGATTTATATAAGATGACATGATTTATAGACAGAATTAGTTCTGAAATTCAAATCTCTTCCTATACTTTCATGGTCTCTGTAGCAGTCCAGACTGACTTTTACTAAAAGAAGATATATTGAACTTTATGATTGGGTATTGGTAGGACAGCAGAAATCAAATATAATAATTGTATGTTGCCTGAGAGCTAGGTAAATTATGTCATTATTTTTGGAAAAATTATTTTATATTTTAGATAAAGACAAAAATGTATGTCATTCTTTATTGACTTCCTTTTTATTTTCCCCCAGGCAATGCAGAACGTGAGGAAGCCACATGTATGTATTGTTGTCCTTTATTTCTTGAACAATTTAACTACTTTATGTGAAATCCAGTTTTCAATTGCTTTTTTATTGACAGATTATTATTTTTGGTATCCAAGATGGGAAGTGCCCCGGCCACTTGTGTGTGACCCATTCTGCATTTTAACTTTCTTTTTGAGAACACTAACTTTTATATTATCTGTCACAATTGTTTTGATAGTACAGCCTTATTTTCCAAATGTATTATTGGAAGAACAGATGACATTTCCCCTTGAGGTAACAAAAAGAGAGGAAGAAGAGGAGGAAGGAGAGGAGGAAGAGGAAGAAGAATCAGAGGAAGAAGAGACATCAGAGGAGGAGGCGGAGGAGGAGGAGGAAAAGGAGGAAGATGAAGATGAGGAGGAGGATGAAGATGAAGACAAGGAGGATTAGAAAGATGAGGGATAAGATATTACCACCATCATAGGACAAAAGTATACCAAAAGCAACATTTTTTTCAAAAAAAAGAACTTGAGTTCAAATAAGAAAAAAATACATACAAGCCACTATTGCAATACCTTTTATTCCCTTCTCATACTTATTCAACAAATTTAAATTTGAAAAACAAAGAAACAAACAAAAACATGTATTTTATTAATAAGTATGGGAAGGCAAGCTCTTGAGAAATAAGAACCTATGAAGAAATAATGATAGAAATACTAAGATTTTACTATGTTGTCCTGATAAAGGAGAACATTTCCATTTTCTAAATATGTTTCTAACTCTGTGTTTTCAAGATTTTTAATGTGTGTTTATAAATTTCTCAAGCATTAAGATTTACCTATGAGGTATTTAAGACCATTCCAAGTTCATGACAACCATTTAATAGATAACTTTTGGTTTTGTTATTTTTATCATTACTACCATAGTTGCTATTAGCAATGGTAATTGTGGTGGTGGTGATATTCTCCATGTGATGTCAGGGCATCAAATATCATTATTTATTTTTGTAATATACATGTTTGGAATGGTTTAAGTGGTACTTGTATATGCTGTTAGGAGAAAAATTTATTATTTCTACTTTATGTGCAATCTTTCATTAAAGCCTTACTGTAATTCTTTATTAGGCTAAATAATCTGTTGCCACCAAGGGCTAATAAATGTCAAAGGCTTACTTAGTTACAATTGAGCAATCTGACTGCTCCTGATTTTGGGTAATAAAATAAACTTTAAAAAAATAATTATTTACTTGTAGTTAATTCAAAATAGTATAGTAAAGCCCAGCCAGTGTGACTTAGTGGTTGAGCTCAATCCAATGAACCAGGAGGTCTCTGTTCCATTGCTGGTCAGGGCACATGCCCATGTTGTGGATTCACTCCCCAGTAGGGGGGATGCAGAAAGCAGCCAACCAATGAGGCTCTCTCATCATTGATGTTTCTATCCTTCTCACCCTATTCTTTCCTCTCTCTGAAATCAATAAAAATATTTTTAAAGTATAGTAAAAGTGCATAAATTAGTAATATAAATTAACTACTTACAGCTAATATTAATGAAAGAACTTAATAAAAATACCTAACATAGCAAAATGCATCAAATGGTATAAACTGGCAGGGAGGATAGAAACATCTAGGGAGATCTGGGAGAGATAAGAGATCAACCAAAGGACTTGTATACATGCATATAAGTACAACCACTGGACACAAAACTCTGGGGAGGGAGGGTATGTATGGGAGGAGGGGGCAATGTTAAAATATGTACACAGATAATAATGTAATAAAAAAATAATAAATAAAATAAAATAATGGTATAAACTGTATGTTAAATGAACTCTATTGTGTATATATGAAATCAGTCTCTGTTGGGAAGCACAGGAGACTTGGTTGGAAAGTTGGTAAGGATGATTCTGAGAAAAGGGAAGTGTGTGGAAGACCACCTGCCCTGTTTATCAGACTTCCGACTTAAGGGGGACAGGGGAGTATCAAATGGGGCACCCCTAATTATGCTTTGACCTTTCCAAACAAGTGCATGCAGACCCCTGGGTGCTCACTGGACTCTTTATGCCTAATGTTGGGTGCCCTTGCCTTGAGATAATGCAAACACATGTCCTCCCAAGATTACTCACCCTACTAATTGTATCTAAAGATAAAAACTGCAAGGAAAACCTAACGAGGCAGGCCATTGACGCTGTCTGGTTGTTATAACCAATCCCTTAGCCTCTCTTCACAGTGCCAGAGTAATCCATTCATCTGTCGCTCAGGGGCTGCTGGTAAACCTTTTTTCTCTCCAGACTCTTAAGAAATTTAATATCCTTAGGTAGATAAAAGGACTAGTGATCATAGTGATTTTATTTTTAAAATTATTATTTTACATTATATACCACTTCATAGCTTCTAAAATGTTTTCACATAATTATTTTATATTCAAAACTACCCTAAGGAGTTAGTATTGCTTACATTTTTAAAATGAAAAAACAAAAAACTGACTTTGGATTTGTGAAATGGTTCAACTTAGGACAGAGGACAAATTAACTTCTGAACATTCTGATGCATAAGTAGAAATTCTTTAAGGTACCATGTTCAATTCCCAATATGATCAGCTTTTACACTTCTACATCTACTCTTTAACATACTCTCCAGGCAATTTCACAGATTATGATTGCCTTAATCCAGTGGTTGATAATGGGGTGCAATTTTGCTACACCCCTCCCTAACCCTGGACATTTGGCAATATCTGGAAACATTTTTTATTAAATTAACCAGAAATGTACTATTAGTATGGGTAGAAATGCTGTAAACATCCTACAATGCTCAAGACAGCCCCAGAGTAAAGAATTATCTACTGTAGTTCAAAATGTCTGTAGTGCAGAGAACAAGAAATGCTGCTGTAGACTAGTTCCATCCTAAATGTGTGTAAGTTATGGATGCACTATATGGTATTAGAGGCCCGGTGCATGAATTTGTGCACCAGTGGGGTCCCTCGGCCCAGTACACCCTTGTATAAATGTACTGCAGCTTTTTTCTCCACTTATCTAATAATGGGCACTTGTCCTTCTTCCAAATCTTGTCTCTTATAAATAATGCTGCAATGAACATAGGGGTGAATTATTTTTCAGTGGTGCATGTTGTTCTTTCGAATTAGTGTTTAATGTAGCTTGATTAAGGGTCATTAGGTCTAAAAATCCAGTGTTCTGCCTTGTAGCACTTCTCTACTTTCAGAAGTACAATTTCCTTTTGTACCACACGGGGAGGTGGGGTCTGTATTATTAAAACTTCCTATGTCTTTCAGCTTTGATTACTCCAGATTCCTATGTAATGAAGCTTTCCTAACTTTCAGTGGCAGCAGCAGGATCTCCTAATCACTCATACCATCCATAACAACAAGGGACTCTGATATTCTAATAACAGCATTTGTTACTGATTTACTAACCTAGCACTTTCACCACTGCATCTTTCTCTCCCCTCAGTATTGATGTATGATCCTAGGTAGGGCCAAGGTTACATTGTACACCTAACCCAGTACTCTGAAATTTCTGTTTCTGATCCTTCATCCAGAAGGAAAAGAAGAAAGCCCATAGGGAATAGGGAAACAATAAGGAAGGAGGAGGGGAGAACCTCACATATCCCATGTGAGGTTCAACCTTTGAGCCCAGGAGTTACTATAGTAACCAGTCTAAGGGAACAGTTACCAATCAGAAGGGATATCAAGGCACCAGGATTGGCAGACTTTATATGCCATAGGGAAAAGGAACTCAGTGGGACCCTTTCCCCCTCTTCATATGGGAGTCTATTCTGTGGGACTCTTTCCCTCTCCCCATGTGGGAGTCTATACTTGTTCTTTAATGAATCTCCATCTTTGCTATACTACCCTCTGTCTGTGGATTCATTCCTCAACTCTGATGGACAAAGAATCCGGGTTCCAGTCTAAAAATTCCGTTTCACTTTGAGACAGCATGGAAGGACCTAGAGAATATTATGCTAAGCAAAATAAGTGAGTCAGAGGAAAATAAGTATCACATGATCTTACTCATATGTGGAATCTGATGAACAAAATAAACTGATGGGGGAAAAAAATAGATCCAAAGACATGGAAGATTCGTGCAATGGAACTTCCTTCACGGGGCTGCCAGCACCTGTTTTCCTCCAGCACTCGGGACCCAGGCCTTCGCTCTGGCTGCTGCCTTCTGCCTTGCTGACTCTGGCTGGAGTCTGCAAGCTTTTCCCCGACTCTGGCCACAGGCTTCGCTTCACTCAGGCCAGAGCACTGCTCCTGTAGCTCCCTCTGTCCCCGTCTTGCCCTTCATAGCAGGTGTCCTGTTCTGCCTGGCCACTCTGCACCTGGAGTGGCTGGGGGACGGAGCCACTGCCATCTTTGTCCTCCTAATTTGCATATCACCTCCTGATTGGCTGGTGGGTGTCACAGATGTATGGTCAATTTACTTATTTCTCTTTTATTAGTGTAGATATGCATAAACCATGGACACAGACAAGGGATACTAGTTTTTACATAATGTGACACTACTCTGCTGTAAAAAAAAAAAAAAAAAAAAGAAAGAAAAATTTCCTTTTTTAACAGCATGGATGGACCTAGCGAACTCTGATTAAAGAGTCTTAAAATAATCTCAGACTCTTCAATCAGAAAGAAGCCAGTCAGATAAAGACTAATATCATAAAATTTTACTCATATATGGAAATTAAAAAAAAAATGTTTATTGATTTTGGAGAGGAGGAAGGGAGAGAGCAATCAATGAGAGAGAAACATTGATTGGCTACCTTTTGCAGGCCCTCTACTGGGGATCACGCCCACAACCCAAGCATATGCCCTGACTGGAAATCTAACTGAAGACCTCTTGGTTCCTGGGTTGTCACTCAACTGCTGAGCCACACCAGCTGGCTATGGAATTTAATAAAAAACAAAACAAAACAAAACAAAAACTGAACTACAAAGTAAAATAGACAGGAGGCTGGGGGATGGAGGATGGAAGAGGGCATATCAAACTAAAGAGTTTTTGAACAGCAAAGAAAACCATCAACAAAATAAACAGACAACCCACTGAATGGAAGAAAGGTATTTGCCAATGACACATCTGATAAGGGTTTAATATCCAATATATATAAAGAACTTACAAAACAACACCAAAAACAAAAACAATCCTATTTAAAAACAGGCTAAAGACCGAATAGACAATTCTCCAAAAAGGACATACAGATGGTCAGCAGACATATGAAAAGCCAAGGGGCCCAGTGCAAGAATTCGAGCACCTTGAAAAGAACTGTGGGCCACGAGACTGCAGTTGGCACAGAGATGGATCTCAGCTCATCCTCCATGCCCCTGCCCGGCCCCTCCTGCCATGGCCACTGGTTCCCAGTCTGGTGGCAACACTGGTCCCACTCGCACCCACTGATAGCGTGGAGCCATTGGGTCAGCACCAGCAGTGGATGTGTGTGGCGACTGCTGTGCCAATCACCTCTCAGGAGAAGCAGGGGAGATAGAGAAGCCCTCAGGGGTGATCAGGCTGGTAACTGCTGCGCACACCTGCTGACGGCACTGAGTGATCAGGACTGGCACTGGGTGCCAGTAGCAGATGTGAGCAGTGGCTCCGGTGCTGGCAGCAGATGTGAGCACCAGGCAGGGTTGTGGTGCACAGGAGCAAAGAATTTTCAGTAACCACCAGAGGCTCACCCTCATAACAGCAACCACTGCCCCACCTTGATCTGGCACTCCTGCTTACCTGCTGCTCCATCCCACCGCACCACATTCTGTGTGCATCCTCTAGTGGTCAGCACACATCATAGAGACTGGTTGTTCTGCCTTTCGGTCTATTTGCATATTAGCCTTTTATTATATAAGATGCTCAAGCCTGGCCAGTGTGGCTTAGCTGCTGAGTATCAACCCATGTACCAAGAGGTCACAGGTTCATTCCCAGTCAGGGCACACGCCCGGGTTGTTGGCTCAGTCCCCAGAGGCAGCTGATTGATGATTCTCTCTCATCATTGATGTTTCTATCTCCCTTTCCCTTCCTCTCTCTGAAATCAATAAAAACATTAACAACAACAACAAAAAACAAGATCCAAAGTCTAAGAATTCAGAGCCAAAGAACTCAAATTACAAGGGAGAGTTTATTTAGAAAGTCACAGAAGATGTGAACCTAGAAGAAATGGGCTCTGGAAAGAAGTTACAGAAGCAAAAGAAGGGTCCTTGGAGCTTAAAAGAAAGAGAAAGGCAAGGAAAACGCACCCAGGGGGAGGGGAAAGGGGGGGCTGCTCCACAGACTGAACTGAGCTGGGTCCTTCATCCCCAGGGCTTTTATCTGAGGTCTCAAGGGAAGATCTAAATAGAATATTTATCAGCTTTTCCC